CTACTCTGGCATGCTTATGATTTGGTAGCTGGTTTCCCCAGAGTGAGTGATCCAAGAGAAAACAAGGAGGAAGTGGCCATGTTGTTTTATGACATAGCCTTGAAAGTCACGCATTGTCACTTCCACTGTATTCCATCGGTTACACACAGCAGCACTGATACATTGTGGGAGGGGATTACATAGGATACACATTAAATAGTATTGGTTATTTTTCTTGAAAGCCTTTTAATTGTGGAGCAACCCAAATACAAATGTATCAGGCTGGGATAAGAGATATTTTCTTTAGTAATGATATTCTCAAAGGCTGACCTGACTGGAGATCAGCGTGCATCTCTGCAGAGATGAGTTTGATGTTAAGTGATTTTTCTGTCTCCTCTGGCTAGACCACCAGAAACAGTGAGGAGATATGAGGAAAAGAGATGCCCATTGGAAGGACGCATGGGGGTCAGGTAAAATCTTAGGTTAAAGATTAAATTAAGTTTAATTAAAGATTAACTTAAGTTTAAGATTAAAAAAGCTTAAAACCATAGTGACTCAAAGGTCCTGTAACTCACCCTTCTGTCAAAGTTCCCACGGGAATTTGTGTGATTCTCCAAAGAGGCCCTGGCTTCACACATGCCCACATCCAGCTCATCAGGAATGATCATCACATGATATTTCTTTGTTTTCTCTCTTTTGTGTCAGCTTCAGTGAGCTCATGGCTGCAGCCTCCACTTGGCCTATGCTAATAGTACTCATCATAGGAATGGCAAAATCTTTGCCAATTATACTTTTCCCCCAAAGCCACAAATCCTCTAGGAGCCAAAGGGATGCTGGACCCAGTGCAGTAATATCACTGGTGGGGAACTCAGCCCTTTCTCTGACTCTTAGGTCCTACTTCATTTTCAGGGCCCTGAAGCCGCACCACCTGTGCACAGACCATCGCAGAGTCTTTCATGAAAACGGATCCTTTTTGTCTGAGTAACTCTCCACCAAGAATACACAAGGACAAGCAGGAGTTTTTAGGCACAGTTCAGTCTTAATCCACAATTCAAAAGGAAACATGCCTCCAAAGGAAATGGAGTTTGCAGAAAATCAACTCGTCCTATAACGTAGATAACATTTTCTTATCTCGAGTATTTTTCTTCCTTGGAGGGATACTCTCTCAAATATTTCCTCTTTCATTATGGCATGCATCCTGCGTACCCAGAGACCCATTGTGGTAGGCTTTCCCAGAACAAAGGAGCAAGGCTTCTGTAATGCCTTATCAAAATTTCTACTGCTTGCATACCAAAAGCTCTTGCATAGCTGGACCAAATCCCACTTGGTCATGGTGTATAATTCTTTTTATACATTGTTGGATTTGATTTCTAATATTTTATTGAGGACTTTTGCAGCTAATTTCATGAAAGATATTGGTCTGTATTTTCTGTTTTTTGGTATACTGCCTTTGCCTGGTTTTGGTATCAGGGGATATTGGCCTCATAAAATGAAGTGGGAAGTGTTCTTTCCTCTTCTATTTTCTGGAAGAGATTCTATAAAATTAGCATTAAAGTTTTGTAGAATTCTCTCCAGTGACACAATCTGAAAATTGATTCATTTATTCCTTCCTGCCTGCCTTCTTTCCTTTGAATAGACTTTATTTTTAAGAATAGTTTTAGGTTCACAGCAAAATTGAGCAGAAGGTACAGAGATTTCCCATATGCTCCCTGTCCCCCACATTGGTATTCTTCCCTATTATCTACTTCACTCGCCATAGTGGTACATTTGTTATAATTGATGAACTTACATTGATATATTTTTATCACCCAAATTCCATAGTTTTTAAAAAATATATTAATGGATGTAGTGGGTACAAGTTGAATTCCATTATATGTATACATTGTATAGTGGTGAAGTCTGGGCTTTTAGTGTACCTGTCACCTGGGTAGTGTACATTATACCTCACAGATAATTTTTCAACCCTCACCTGCTCCCATCCATGTTTTGAGTCTCCAGTGTCCGTTATACCACTCTGTGCCCTTGTTTAGCCAGAGCTTAGCTCCCACTCATAAGTGAGAACATGTGGCATTTATTTTTCTGTTCCTGAGTTACTTCACTTAGGATAATGTAGATCATTTCACTCTTTCTTATTGCTAAGTAGTACTCCATGTTGTGTGTGTATATACGTGTATATATATATACATAACATACATATGTATATATATATACACGTATATACATACACCATGTTTTCTTTATCCATTCATCAGTTGATGGGCATTTAGGTTGATTCCATATCTTTGCAATTGGGAATTGTGCTGCTATAAACACACAAGTGGGCCGGGCGCTGTGGCTCACGCCTGTAATCCTAGCTCTTGGGAGGCCGAGGCGGGCGGATTGCTCAAGGTCAGGAGTTCAAAACCAGCCTGAGCAAGAGCGAGACCCCGTCTCTACTATAAATAGAAAGAAATTAATTGGCCAACTGATATATATTTAAAAAATTAACCGGGCATGGTGGCGCATGCCTGTAGTCCCAGCTACTCGGGAGGCTGAGGCAGAAGGATCACTCAAGCCCAGGAGTGTGAGGTTGCTGTGAGCTAGGCTGACGCCACGGCACTCACTCTAGCCTGGACAACAAAGTGAGACTCTGTCTCAAAAAAACAAACAAACAAAAAAAAAAACACACACACACACACAAGTGGAGGTGTCACTTTAATATAATGATTTCCTTTCCTCTGGGTAGATACCCAATAATGGGACTGTAAGAGCGAATGGTAGATCTATTTTTAGTTCTTTGAGAAATCTCCATACTGATCTCCATGGAGGTTGCACTAATTTACATTCCCAGCAGCAGTGTTTAAATATTTCCTTTTTACCACATCTGTGCCAACATCTACTGCTTTTTGACTTTAATAATGGACATTCTAATCAGAGTAAGATGGCATCTCATTGTGGAGGTTTAAATGTTTTTTTTCTCTGATGATTAGTGATAGTGAACATTTTTTCATATGTTTGCTGGCCATTTGTATATTTTCTTTTGAAAACTGTCCATTCATGTCATTTGCCCACTTTTTAATGAACTTGGTTTTTTTTTGTGTTAAGTTGTTTGAGTTCCTTGTAGTTTCTAGATGTTAATGCTTTATCGGATGCATACTTCATGGATATTTTCTCCCATTCTGTAAGTTGTCTACTTACTCTTTTGATGATTTCTTTTGCTATGCAGAAGCTATTTAGTTTAAGTCCCATTTGTCTATTTTTGTTTTTATTGCATTTGCTTTTGGGGTCTTAATCATAAATTCTTTGTGTAGGCCAATGCTTTCATCTTGCAGCTTGTGAGATTTTCTCCTTCACTTTGACTTTGGCCAGATTGATGACTATAAACCTTGGTGATGTCCTATTTGCAATGAAGCTTCCAGGAGTTCATTGAGCTTCTTGTATCTGGATATCTAAATCTCTCACAAGACTGTGGAAGTTTTCCACCATTATTCTGTCTGATAGGTTTTCCTTTTCCTTGCTTTTTGCTTTTTCTTCTTTTCCTTCAGGGATAACTATGATTCTTACATTTGGATATTTTACATAATCTCATATTTCTCTGAAATATGTTCATTTCTCTTGATTCTTTTATCTTTATTTTTGACCGACTGAGTAAATTCATAAGCCTTGTCTTCAAGCTCTGGAATTCTTTCTTCTACTTGTTTTAGTCTGTTAAGAATTTCCACTATATTTTGAAATTCCCTAAATTACTCTTTCATTTCCAGAAGTTCTGTTATTTTGTCTTAAAAATATCTATTTCTTTAGCAACTTTTTTCATTCATGTCCTGAATAATGTTTTTGGTTTCTTTATGTTGGTTTTTAACTTCCTCATTAATCCCATTGAGCTTGTTTGTAGTCCATATTTTGAATTCCATATTTGACATTTCAAAAATTTCCTTTTAGTTGGAGTCCATTGCTGGAGAGCTAGTGTGCTCCTTTGTAGGTGTCAAAGGAGCCTGTTTTTTCATATTCCCAGAGTTCTTATGCTGGTTCCCTCTCATCTGAAACCTCTTCCCTCAGCTCAAAATAGATAGCTTTGCAGTTCATGTGTTTTCCTCTGCCGGGAACTCTGCTGCTCAATGTAGAAAGGGAGAGGTATGCCGCCTTTCATCGCCTGCAGGTAGGTACCCACTATAGTGCTGCTGGCAGTTTGGGTTGTTTGAACTTCAGATGCCTGGGAGAGTATTCAGGACCATTTACTTTTAATCTGTATGTGTCTTTTTATTTAAAGTTGGTTTCTGATAAACAATATAAGTTGGGTGTTTTTTTAATCCATTCTGATAATCTGTCTTTTAATTGGTGTACATAGATCATTGACATTCAAAGTCATTATTAATATAGTTGGACTAGTATCTATCATATTTGTTGCTGCTTTCTATTTGTTGCCCCCATTCCTTATTCTTTTTTTGCCTTCCATACTTTTTCTCTCTTTTGTTGTTTTAATTAAATATTTTATATCATTCCATTTTTCTCCTTTCTTAGCATATCAGATATACTTATTCCTTTTTTTTCTTTTATACTTTCTTTATTGGTTGCCCTAGAGTTTGCAAAATACATTTACAATGAATTCAAGTCCACATTCAAATAACACTATACTGCTTCATATAAGTACCTCATAATTAAAAAAATTATAGTCCTCCCTCCCATCTTTTGTATAATTGCTTTCATTCATTTCACTTATACATAAGCCTACATAAGCACAGACACACACACACACACACACACACACAAAATGATACATAATCAAATACAGCAGTCCACCCTTATCCTCATAGGATATGTTCCAAGACCCCCACGGATGCCTGAAACTGTGGATAGTACTGAACCTGATTGCCATAAATGGGAACATGTATCTGTTCATGTCTTGCATCCACAAATTTAATGTCTTTTCCATCTTAACTAAGCACTTATTCTACTGTGGCCATAAATTGTTTTGGATTGGATATGATAGCAAAACTAGCATCAATTTCTTTTTCACAATTTCATGGGTAAAGATTTGTTCTTACCATAGAGTTTAGCAGCATCAGCATGTGGGTTTTTTTCTTCTCTCACTAAGTTGAGAACTTTCACCTTTTGCCTTGAAGTGCTTTATGGCTTCTCTTTGGCATATCCAAATTGCTGGCATCACTACTCCTGTACTTTGGGGCCACTGTGAAGTAAAATAAGGGCATCTTGAAAACAAGTACTGTGGTACCTTGGCAGTTGATCTGATAATTGAGACAGCTACTAAGTGACTAATGGGCAGGTAGCATATACAATGGGAATATGCTGGACAAAGGGAGGATTTACATCCCAGGCAGGATGACGTGAGCTTTTATCAGCTATTCAGAATGACACATAATTTAAAACTTATGAATTGTTTATTTCTGGAATTTTCCATTCAATATTTTTGGACCTTGCTTGATGGTGCATAACTGACACTGTAGAAAGTGAAACTGCAGATAAGTAAGAACTACTGTATAATGTTGCTAGCATTATTTTGAACAAAATCATCTGTTAGATCAGATAAAATAAGAAAAAAAATAAAAGTTTTTATTTTACCTTCACTTATTCCTTCTAGTTTACTCTTCCCTTTTTTATGTAGAGCTTCTATTGGCAACACAGTCCCTCGTTTTTTTGTTTGTCTGAGAAAGTCTTTATTTCTCCTTCACTTTTGAAAAATAATTTCATAGAATTCTAGGTTGGTGGGTTTTTTTTCTCTGAACACTAAATATTTCATTCCATTCTCTTCCTGTTTGCATGGTTTCTGGAAAGTTGGATGTAATTCTTATCTTTGCTTCTGTATAAGTAAGGTGTTTTTTTCCTCTGGCTTCTGTCAGGATTTTTTGTCCATCTTTGATCTTCTGTAGTTTGAATATGCCAAGGTATAGGTTTTGGGCTTTATTCTTTCTGCTTGTAGTTATCTGAGCTTCTAGTATCTATGGTTTGTTATTTGACATTAATTTTGGGGAAATTACCAGTTATTATTATTTCAAATATTTCTTCTCTTCTTATTCTCAATACATACATGTTATTCTTTTTGTAGTTGTCTTATAGTTATTGAATATTCTGGGGTTTTTTTTCAGTCTTTTTCCCCTTTGCTTTTCAGTTTTGGTGATTTCTTTTTTTTTTTCTTTTTTTTTACTGAGATGCTCCTCAAGCTAACAGTTTTGGTAATTTCTATTGAGATATCCTCAAGCTCAGAGACTCCTTCCTCAGCTATGTCCAGTCTACCAATAAGCCCATTAAAGGCATTCTTTATTTCTGTAAGTATTTTTGATCTCTAGCATTTCTTGTGGGTTCTTTCTTAGAATTTTCATCTCTGCTTACATCGCCCATCTGTTCTTACATTCTGTCTACTTTACCCATTATAGACCTTAGCATATTATTCATAGTTGTTTTAAATTCCTAATACGGTAATTCCAACATCCCTGCCATATCTGAGTCTGGTTCTGACACTTGGGCTGTTTCTCCAAACTGTGTTTTTTGCCTCTTAGCATGCCTTGTAAATTTTTCTTGATGTCCAGACAGGATGTACTGGGTAAAGGAAGCTTCCATCAATAGGCCTTTAGTAATGTGGTGGTAAGATGCGGAGTGAGGGGAAGCATTTCACAGCCCTATGATTAGCTCTCCATGTCTCAGTGAGCCTGTGCCTCTCACTGTGAACCTAGTGATGCTTTTCAGCTTTCCCCCCTTAGGTGGGAAGGATGGCTGGAGGGGGCTGGAGCTGGGTATTTTTCATCTCTCACGTGGAAGGCTAGAGCTCGTTGGACTTGGATATTTCCTTTCCCCCAGGTCATGTAGGCTCTGATCAAACCTCAGCAGGATAGGTGTAAGGGTGGCCTTGCAAAAAATAACAGGAAAATACCTAATCCTATAATTTCCCCAATAAGGTTAAAGATCAATCCTATGCGTTCTCTCACTAACAGGCACCCCGCAGGAGTTCCGTTTTGCACAACTTCTGAAGAAAGCTGAACAGACGGAAAAGACATGTAAATCTCTTTCTTTCAAAATTGTTTTTTGAGAATCTGCTTTTACAGAGTTCTTGAGTAAACAGCAGGAGAACGAGCTACAGCCTCAACCATATCTCCAGGACAGAGTCACGTCTCCTGTGATAATCCCTTCTCCTAGGAAAGGCAGGAAACCAAGTCTTGGACTCTGACATCCTTGCAGTTCTTTTTTATCTACTTGCTGCTGCCTTTGCTATCAACTGGCAGCCATCACTATTTTTTTCTCTTCATCTCCCTTAAAATCAGCACAGCCACTTGGCTTCACTGTTAGCCCTCCCTTCTCTATCTTTGGGATGCCACAGCATCTCCCTGCTCTCTTCTCCTTCCCCCTTTCTCCTCTTTCTTTCACTCTCTCATTCTCTTTATCCTTCTGAGAAGATAAAATAGATTTTACTATTATATCTTAACTTCTGCATGAGAAATCTTTCTCCACTTGCACCGTGAGCACCCACTAGGCTTTCCAGCCTAACATAGGCTCCGATTAGTTTCTTCTGGGGGCAGACTTTGTTAAGAAGATCAGAATGCTCTGGAGTGTTCTAACGGTTCCTTTTCCCCTCCCCTTGTGGGAAAGACTAGGGGATTTTCCTTGGATATTTACTATGAGAATCTGGTAGAGCTCCTGGAGGTAAAAATCACAAAAGTGTGCCACCCCATGTCCCATGACTGGGTATCTTTGGAGTTTTTATCTATTAGACTTGTCTACACCAGCAACCTGTCAATTACAGTTTAGGTTCTTCTACCCTGGCATTGGTTCTCACATGGGTTTCTGCCCTGGTAAGTTACAATTCTCTGTATTTACCTGTCTCTCTAATTTGGAGGGCAGTGGTTTACTCAGTGATCTCACTTCTCTTATGAATCTAAGAGAGTTGTTGATTTTTCAGTTCGTTGAGCTTTTTACTTGTTGTTAGGACAAAGTGACCACTTCTAAGCTTCATACATGCTGGACTGGAAATTGGGAGTCTAAGATTTCTTTTCCAGGAGATTTTAAATTATGAATTTAATTTATTTAATTGTTATAAGACTAATTTGGGTATCTATGTAATGTGCTGGCTTTGAGTTTATTTTGCTATTTTTTTCTAATTTCTTGAGGGCAGAACTTAGTTTGTTAATTTGAAACATTTCCTTTTTTCTAATGTAAGCATTAGAAATGTATGTGCTATAAATTTCTCAGCATTACTTTAACTACATCCTATACCTCCTAAATATTTTGATATGTTATAATTTCAATTGCATTGAAATTCTGATTTTTATAAATTTCCTGTGAAACTACATCTTTGATAGCCTGAGCAATATAGCAAGACTCAGCCTCTATGTAAAATGGAAAAATTAGCCAGGCCTGGTAGCGTGTGCCTGTAGTCCCAGCTATTCTGGAGGCTGAGGTGGGAGGATCACTTGAGACTGGAAGTTTGAAGTTGTTGTGAGCTATGGTCATGCAACTGCACTCTAGCCCAGCAACAGAGCAAGACCCTGTCTCAAAACAAAACAAAACAAAACAACAAATCAAACATTCTGTATGATTTTAATTTTTAAAAATGTATTGAGGTTTTTGGCTCACGAAATGGTCTGTCTTGGTGAATGTTTCGTGGGCACTTAAAAAAAGTGTGTATTCTGCTGCTGTTGGATAGAATGTTTTATATATCAATTAGATACTGTTGGTTCATTATATTGTTCAGTTATTCTATATCCTTGATGGTTTTCTATCTAATAGTTTTTTTAAGTTTCTGAGCAATTAAGAGCTCTTTAGGCTGGGCACAGTGGCTCACACCTGTAATCCTAGCACTTTGGGAGGCTAAGGCAAGAGGATTGCTTGAGGTCATGAGTTGGAGACCAGCCTGAGGAACGTAGTAAGACCCTGTCACTACAAAACTTAGCTGGGTGTGGTGGTCTCAGCTACTTGGGAGGTTGAGCCAGGAGGATTGCTTGAGCCAAAGAATTTGAGGTTGCTGTGAGCTCTGATGATGCCAGTGCATCGTCATAGCTCTCTAGCCCATGGCAACAGAGTGAGATCTTGTCTCAAAAAAAGAAAAAGAAAAAAAGCTCTTTAGTTTTAAAAAGAGGCTTTTTGGAAGAATCATCATCCCCAATAAGATAACAGTTAAAGCTCAAATTTAAAGCAACATGTGCTGCATTTTCTCCCAGGAATTTCTGTTGTTTCCAAACTCAGGCTAGAATCAATCAGTGGTCATTCTCCTTTTGCTGACAAACAAAATTATTTTCTGGACTCTTCATTTTGAATGAATGAAGCAGATGATTAACCTTTCAACGTGACTTGTATTTACAGGCTGCTTTCTCCCCGTGTATTTATATAGTCTGCTAACTTTCCCCCACACTGCCGAATGTCTTCTGAAACAATCAGCTGTCAGACGTGAGAAAATCTGTTAACACATGATGTGTGGCATAGCACAGAGTTATGATATGAAATCATCTTGAGTATTAAAAATTCAAGCTAGCCTCTTCTATCTAAGCTTTGAGCAAGTGATAATCACTACCCAAGGTCATTTGACTTTCACCAGATTCTCTGCACTTTGAGCACTCTTGTGATACTCCTCATATGGCATCATTTAAAACAATCTTTTTTATACTGTCTAGATATTTTACATAAAAGTGCTAAGTAAACTGTGCTTAATGTTTTGGATCTATCCAATAAGGCTCCTGGGCCAGAGCCCTGGGGATCCCTAATTGACTGTTTCTCTGTTATTGCACATATTGTACATACCTCCTGTGTATTCTGCCTTCTAAATATCTTTCAAGTTTATCTCTTCCTCCTCATCTCTACTGCCACTGGCTTGGTTCTGGCCCCCAGCAAGTCTTTCCTGGATAATTTCAGTAGTATTCAAACTGGTCTTACCCTGCTTTAATTCATCTTCTATGTTACTGCTGTCAGAATAATCTAAACGAAATCACATTCTTCTCCTGCTTAAAGTACTTCTACAGGTCCCTCCTAGGTACTGGGTTCAAATTCAAGGTATAAGTCAGCCTACACATTTTTGCCTACCTCTCTGACATCATTTCCACCATCCCTCCTGTGCTTATGGGCAGCCTCTCAACTTGCAATTATCTTAAGATTATGTTGTTGAATGCCCTATGCGTTTGCAAGTATTATTCCTTCTGCCTCACGTGCATTTTCTACTCATCCTTCCAGACCTAGGTCAGGTATCACTCCGTTAAGAAGCCTTTCTGGTCTGGGTTAGATGCTCCTGCCATGTTTCCCAGCATCTTTTACATACCTCTCTTTGTATGTGATGCAATATTACATTAATTATATTAAGCTGTGGGCTCTGAAGCCAGAGTATGTGGTTTAAATCACATTTTTTAAATTATTAGCTGTGTGGCCTCTGGCAAGTTTCTTAGCTTTTTTTTATGCCTCAGTTTCCCTGACTGTGAAAGTGATAATACTGTCTCGTGGTTGTTCTGGGCTTTCTACTGAGGTGAAAAATAGAATCCTTAGAATTATGCCTAGGCCAGAGTGAACACTTTGTGCATATCAGCTGTTCCCAATAACTTATTTTATTTTCAGTTTGCTGTTCCATAAAATTCTAAGCTTTTTATTTTTTGAAACAGAGTCTTGCTCTGCCACTCTGGCTGGAGTGCAGTGGTGTCATCATAGCTCACTGCAACCTCAAACTCCTGGGCTCACGCAATCCTCCTGCCTCCACCTCCCAGAGTGCTAGGATTAC